AATCAGTCCATTCACTATCCGAACAGCGTTCTGTCATCTTACTTTTGCACTATTATGTTCCGGCACATGTTGTTATTACATGGCTTGATTAAGGTACACATTAGGCTGACATCTGGGGCCAGAGCTGAAACTGTTCTGGGGCAGCACAGGGCCAGCAGTGTGTTTGCAACTGGCCCGTGGCTGCACACAACTTACACATGGCCCACATACCGCAAAGAATGACGTGCCTTTGGTTCAAATTATTTAAATGTCTTATCTTAGAAGTTCCAAACAAATAGAGTACCTTTGTTAAGTTGAATGAAACATTTGAACTGCTGCAACAAAACAAGAAGACAAAGGAAAGGAGACGGTGATGTACATGCTATGTTAGGGTTCAGCTCAAACCTCTTCTACACGGCTAATGATGGCCCATCAACCCCCCACACAGCAGGCTGAGTTAGTGCTAAAACAATTATCACGCAGTAATTTAACAGGCATCATGAGGAAATGTTTTTCTACAACATTAAATTGCATTTCCACACTTCAAGTAGAGACGGCTTCATTACAAACATGTGTGCATGTGTAAGAGAAAGGGTAGGGTGGGACTGGAAGGTTGACTTTGTACAGCGTGTCACCTTTTGTGGAATTAAATGAATACATCACTCTAGGCCTACGACGGGCACCAGCCTGACAGCCCGACTCCATCATGCTGCAGGACACGGAGCCACTGATACTTGTCAGCTGGAGAAGAATCATTTGCATTGAACGAGGTGCAAAAAGAGAATGAGAGTGCTCCAGCTTCGCCTCTTTCACTGATGGAAGCTTCGTCTGAGCTTCAAGAGGCCTGAAATCTCTGAACAAGCAGAAATCCTGATTTGACTCATGAAATAATCATCAAAGGCATTAACTCCACTTCACAGCGAGTATTTATTTTATAAAGTATTTAGTTGTAGCTATTGTATTCTCGCATTACAGCATATTTAATGAAGGGGAATAATCTATTGGCAGGCAGTCCATTTGTTATGAGCAGCACAGGCTGACAGCTAATAAAAATGACATATCTGTTTTGGTGCTCTCTGTACAAAATATAAAAAATGAGCCTTATCACCATTTAAATGCTTTCTTTTCATTGCTGATCCTTTAATAACCACCATTGTACAAAGCCACTTTTTTTTTAACTAATAGAAACTGCCGTGCTCAAACAGACGCCTAATGTGAGTATGCATAGCTTTCAGGGGAAAAAAATGTTTGCATATCAAACAAAAGTGAAATCTCGTTGGCAGGAATAGAGGGAGGCTTGTTTTTATTAGAATAAGTTTAGAGTTGATAGTAAAATATTACACATTACAGATGTTGCAGGGAAAAATTAACTTCATGAAACAATTAAAATTTGTTAAGATACTAAAGGGCAAGGCTTAAAACAATCCCAAACTTTGCTTTATAAATTAAAAAAACAAGTACATGCCATGATTGAATAGCTAATAGAGATACTTTTAGCAGTACTAGCTCAAGTCATTGTTTTCTATATTAGTTTATGAGTTTCTCACATCATTCTGGAGGATTTTTTCGTATAGCAATGCTTCTGTTATTTAAATCAGGTTAAACTCTGAATTTTGAGGGCTATCGCAATACCTCGATTATTTTCTTTTTCAGCAGTTGTGTTTTAGATACAGAAGAGCTCCTGGTTGACTCAGTGACTGCAAGATATCCTGGTCTTAAACCTGAAACCTCAAATTGTTAGCCCACCACCACTGTGCTTTACAGTTGGTATGAGGTGTTTGTGATGATATGCTGTGGATTATGGCCAAAATCACCACTTAAGTCCTGGCAACCCTTCCAAAGAACGTTTTCAGTGTTTATCTAAATGCACTGTCGCAGAGCCTGTCAAGAAGTGTCTTATCTCCTGAGACATTCAGCCCTGGGAAAATTGTGTATTAACACAAGACAAGTTCCAACTTCTGCTTGTATAGTGGTGTTCACACTTGCTGATGATTAGCTAATCAAGTGCATTCGATTAGCAGCATCTGGCTTTTCTGACCCTCTTTATTTCTATAGCAGTAGGAGTGCACTTAATTTTTCACAGGGACAAAGACTTGCACTTCAAACGTGCACTTCTAAGCAGCATTTTTGTTGTCCTGTGAAAATGAAAAAAAAAGCTCTAGGAAAGACATTTCTAATAATTACACTGTAATTCCATAGAAAAAGCTGGAAATTTACCTATTTACAAATCTGTAGAGACATAGAGCAAAATAAATATATTTACCCAGGTAAATATGGGACCGTACACTGATTGACTGCTGAAGCCAAAAACTACACTGCTGAGAGAAAAAGTAACTCAAACAAAGTATTGCATTTGCAGACTACAGAGCTAAGGTGGGACAGCCTAGTGTGTGAGATATTTCTCCCTGGGTTTGCAACAAAAACAAAGAGTCCAGTGATCCATTATTAATTTTGAAAAGAAAAATGCTTTGAACCATATACACTACTGCACAGTGAGAATACTATTTTGTTGCGCTCGCATCTCACTGTCAAGAAAGAAGATCCAGTTATCATTCATATATTCTGATGCCCTGGATGTTGAAGGTAGTGTGAAGAGACACAGATAACATAAAGAAATGATTCTGCACACTGACACAAACACTCAGTGATTGAAAGTACTCTTAAATTTTTTTCTCTAGAAATTTCTCATATGCCGAACTGT